ACAATTGTTGAATGATGAAAAAGTTTTTATTAACTGATGACAGGGGGCAGAAAAATAAAAAAAATGAAAAGACCAAAAACTCAATTTTTAGCACGACCCCAAGTTTCATCCTACCCCAAACATGTTACTGTTGATGAAAAGAAAACTCTAGTGTCCGGCAGATGTATTCCGAAAAGAAGAACCCGTATGCTTAAACGTGGTGGCGCCAAGTTTCAGTATAGGCCGATGTGTTTTTGGAGGCGTTGGACACTTTTCGAGTATTTGCCATCTCTCCAATGCCGCCTTGAAGTGGCAGATCGAAGGTGATCTCGTGCTGTAGCAGACGAAAACATGCCAAGAGAAGTGGCCTCTGGGCAAGTTAATGAAAGTAATAAAAAAAGCGAAGAATGGTCATGTACTAGCTGTGTGGTTAGGGCACCGGGGTTCAGAACTAGTAAAACCAGTAACAAAGCTGTGTTTGACGTGTGTAGAAGGCTTCAGAATGAGTTGCAAACAAATTAAAACGTTCATACAGTTATAAGGATCACGACGATACATAAAAACGCCGCAATAGTTGATGTTTAATTTATTTTTTAAACAGATAATTTATATAAGGATTTATTGAATGTATTCTTAAATAGATTATTTAAAGTTGTACAGAATTAGAGCTCTATTAAGCAAATATGTTTAATTTTATTCTGAGAGGGTAAATTACAAATGTTTTTGATTGATGAGCGTACGTTGATGTTTATGTTTTTAAATAATTATCTTTGTATTTTATGTAATGATTTATTTTTATTCTGCTTTGTACAGAAGGAATCGTTTCACGTTTCCCGTATAAACGCATTCTCACTAAAACACTGGACGTCGTGTGTTATACATTTTATTATAGTTCCGCCCATTGTTTTCGTCGTTTAGGGCAACGCCTTTTATTACTGGGGACCAACGCCGCTTTTCATGGAATGCACGAATTGTCACATTGAAGTTCCATTGATTAACCGCCGTATGAAACACATCTGCGGATGTTTCTAAATTTCAAATTTTACTATTAACATGTTTAAATGTTGAATTCTGCTTAAGCCGGTGCAAGGGGCGTGGACTGGTAAACTTGCAACATTCCAGTACCATCCATGAACAGGCTCAGATCAAACGAGCCTGCAACATTTTCAATATTGCCGTGTTCGCTATCTCTTAGAGATTCCGGTATTTATACTATTTTTTGGATTTAAAAACACCAGTAGATTGCTCCTTCAGACGTTGACTTGTCAGCATTTGTATAAAGGCGTCAAGCAGAGAAGGGTTCGCAATTTCCTGAAAGATCCAAAAGCTTATTTTTGAAAATCTGTATACATAAGAAGTTTCTTTAAACAAATTTTAAGAAGGGATACAAGAACCAACCTAACAAGAAAATTATATGATCTGCTATAAATGTAGAAAGTACTTAAAATGTATCGGAATGTTTCACCTTGCAAGGATCGTGAATTGAGATCGAGTATATATCAAACTGATTATCGAGTACAGGTAACAGAAAAAAATCGTTAATACTCGTGTGTAGGTCGTTATGTTCATGCTGGCATAAGGAAACACCGTCTAGCAGCGGTCTTTAGTAACTTTTTGCAAAAAAATGCAACAATACAGGTTTTCCTTTCGTCTGCGAATAAATCATATTCGTGACATAAAACAAAATATTTCTCTGGAAATAAAGTTCATGAAATAAACATTACCTTTTAAAGTGTCCTGAACTAAGTTGAAAATTCTAGTAAAGTAGAAATAAAGGTAAACTGATTCAATAAATGAGTGCCGAAATGAAACTGAAAAAAAATCGTTCTATGAAAAACCTTCTCGCCAACAAACTTTCGTCCACAGCTCTCATGTTTTATTCGTGTTGCATCCTTAGTAGGATTTAATGATTTTGATAGATTCCTTTTTTTTTATTTCAGAAATGATTGTAAGGCGACCCAAGTCTGCTTTAAAGCACGGAAAGGGGGAAAAAATTGTGATTCGGCCTGGCGGGCCGGGTCTGGGGAAAACTGCATCGATTTTCGAGGGGAATGCCTTTCATCACCATGCCAAAGTTTTTAAAAGTTGTACAAATACGGACGGTCTTTTCCGTGGGTGCCCAAAGGGGCCATACTGGGATACATTTTCAGCAACATAATGAATTTTCTAAAAAACCCATTGGTTTTTTCCGGTTTTATGCATGAACACTGGGGGTTCCTACAAGTGAAAATTTCTTCCTGGAAAAGAAGGGGATTCATCCAAAAATAGAGAATGAAGGTAACACTTTAATCCCCTTTTTTTAATTAAAAAAACACACCCTTTAAAATTTTAAAAAGTTTATTGCATAATTAAATTTTATACTTTATTCAAAGATTTTTCAAATACAATTTTATTTTAAATTTGGGGTGATACTTAGAAATCGGGAGTAAAAAGAAAAACAAGGCAAGATTAGTCATATTTTTTTCCCTCGCCCCAAAAAATTTTACGTTAAATTAATTTAACTTTTGCATTTTTAATTTCCAAAATTTCCCCAAAAAAGGATTTGCACCCTCAAAAACCGCAATTTCTTTCAGTGGGTCTTTGCATTTTTTAAAATTTTTTCATTATTGCCTTGTTTTTGATAAGGGGACCCGTGGTAAGTAAAGCCCATTTTTTAAAACATGTTTCTTCAAAATTTGTTTTTGTTTTTTCAACATTGTAATTTTGTAGGGGAATTTAAAAAATTACGCTGGGGTTTTTTACCCTTTTATGCCCCCAAAAGTTATCAATTTTGTTTTTTAAAAAAAACAACCGTTAAACAAAAAGTTCAACACAAGTACGAACTGGGGAAATCCTTCATTACTCAAAAATCCGAAAAAATTTTGCAAGTAAAGCAGCTTTTCTTCGGCCCCAGTATCTCCCCCAAAAAAATATGCAAGCAAAGTTTGATTTACTTTTTGGGCCCTGGGAAACTCCGAAATAACTAGCAAGTAAACCCGATTTTTTTCGACCCCAGTTTCTTTTTTTAAAAATACTTCTTGGTTTTTTAATTGAAAAGTACTAGTAAATTTCATGGAAATTTTATAGAAATTCCCTAGGGGCCCTGTGGGGTTGTTTTTCGTTCATTTGGGAACCGGGAAGGAAAAAAACAATGAGTTATTCATAATTTAAAAATTATTTTGGGGAAATTTTACTTGTTTTACAAAAATTTTACCTTTTATAACATAATGTAACCCTTGTGGAATTTGGGATCCCCCAAAATTTAAACTTTTGGGTTTATAGTGTTAGGGTTGGTATTACAAAAAATTGTTGAAAAATTTCAAAAATTGGCCCAAAATTTTTCAAAAAAATGTTTTGAAACCGTACACCTGCAAAGGATCGAAAATCAGTCGATATGGATGTTTCAATTTTGATCAAAACAGTCCTTTAAAAAATAAGATTTAGGATCTGACATTCATTTAAAATTTTAGCCCTTTTTAAACCCCAATTTTTAGCGTTTTTGTACAATTCCCCAGATATAGCGGGGTGCCATAAAATGGGGCGTCAGATTTTTAGTAAACAATTTAAAGACGCTTAAAAAAACAAACAAATGATCTCATTTTTTCACTTAAAAAACATTCGAAAGAATTTTAATCGTTTTTTACCCCAAAAATCAATAGCTTCTTTTTACTTTTTAAAGGGGGTTTCCCTTTTTGCTTTTCCCAAATTAGGGTTTTTTCCCATCAGAAACCCCCTCTTCAACTGTGATTTATTTTGTTGGCTTAAATAGGTTTATTTGGGGCAACGTTGAAACCTTAAAAAATGCATGTTAAAGTTTCGAGATCTATATTTAGGGAATTATTGGTTTTTTGGTTTCGTTGTTTTTGCCGTATTGGGGGAACCCTCAAAAAACGCACGTACTTTCATTCACAGGCGGGAAACTTCCCAGAATGAAAAAATAAAATATTCTGACAAATATATATTATTATTGAATTACATGTATTATACATGTTGTAAATCAGTAATTAATATAAGATAATATAACGTATTAAAATAATGAAAAAATTTGGAAGATTAATGAACATTACAAAATAAGAATTTTTCAGGAATATTTGTAAAAATTCATATCAAAGAAAGTGTTAAACATCTTTTGCTTTATCTAAAAAATAGCTTAAAAACAATCTTGATGAATTACAAAAAAAACGATTTTAAATCTGATACTAGAAAATAAATGGGTTAGATACCAATGTTTTTTTTCGGTTAGTAATGCGTATATATTGTCTGACAAACGTTCCGTTTTACCTCCATTATTTTCCAATTTTACCTACCCCCTTGCCTCCCTTTCTTGCTCTTCAACCTTTTAATTCTTGTCATCATTTCGTAAAGCACATACACACTTTTAAATGTTTTCAAATATGTTTGCTAAAAAAATAATTTTCATTTTTTACGTCCCCCTTTTTTGTTTCCTTTTTTGTTTTTCTGCAAAGTTAATAAATTTTGGTTTACAAATAAAAAACCCACAGTAAAACCAAAAAGAGGAAGACTTGGAAAAGATCCGTCGGGAAAAAACAGACTGGGGAAAAAAACACATTACGGGGGAAAAAATAACTTTCTTTTTTTAAGTTTGTTTTTAAAAATTTAAAAATGCCAAAAAATTTGGGTTTCGTTTAAAAAAACTACCATTTTTTTTTGGGGGGGGTTTCTATAAAAAGTTCCCAAAACTGAATGGTTCAGCAAATTTAAAAAAATCAAAAAAATGGCTATTATTTATAAAAGCCCAAACCATTTTTTGAAACGCTTTTGGACTGCTACGTTTGAGAAAACACCAGTATGCATTTTATCTCGGGATACGCATTGTTTTTATAAATAAAATTATTATTGCGCTGGGACTGCATTTGTATACATGTATTTGAAATGATAAAATATCTTTATAGGAAGTCACATATATTGGAAACTGAATAAACATTTTATATGTACATATACACACAGTTTTTATAATAGATAGACAATGCCTATAACCATATGATACTTGCACTGTCTAACATAAAAATACCTACTATTTTAAGTATCCATCAATCGGGCGAGCCTAAGAGAAACTCTGTTCGAATCGTGTCAAGGATGGCACGTATTTCAGCCATGGAATCTATAACAACAAATAGGTAAGAGTGTTAAAATGTCATTGATTATGCAAGAACGCTTGTCTTGACATGTTTTAATTGGAATAAAGGTCACTACGAGACTGCTGTCTTATTGCGAATTTCCAACTAATAATTTTAGAAGGAAGGAATGATAAGCTCCTCAGACCTGAGCGGTACCTGAGTAGAACCGTCGACCTCACGTTAGCTAGTTTGATAGCTTTTTTAAATGAAAGAATCCGAATTCTTGACGGGGATTCGACCACAAAACGGTAAGGGGCGAGTGAATAGACATCACATAGGTCACCTTAACTGCATGAGTCAAGTTTAATTGTAAATTGTACATGTATAGAAAGAAGATACAGCAGCAAATTAAATTGCTCATAGTTCCATATTATTTCTAGTAAAATATACTTCAAACGTTTACTTGGACAATAACTACCGTCCATGAATAGGCTGATACAACACTTTTCAATTTTGTCAATATCCTTTCTTCTCAATATTTCGTCTTATGGCCCTTTACCTGCTGATTCTTTTAATGGATCTGACGTTTGATTTGAAAATGGAACTGTCAATTTGAACTGAAAGGATTTCAATATTGAATTAGAGCATTGAATCTGCCAACAGTTAAGAGTCTGGTCAGACTTCAGGCAGGTATGGCAGTATTCTGGCACCAAAGGTAAATAACTTTTGGTTCCAGCAGGTTACGGATTAACTTGTGTAGAAAAATACTACTGTCGTTTCATTGTACTGATAAACAAATTAACATTTGAAACCTATAGACTACAATAGGTTGACGAGCCATTTCAGAATCTCCAAAAACTGTAAAATGAATAAATCAAATAGAATACATTTTCAGGTCTGAGGAAAATTTCAATCCATTTCAAAACGACAAGCCAGCAAAGCACAATAGAGTCAGAGTTTTAGAATTGGAAAACATTGAATCAAAGTAAGTCATTTGTATGATTTTGGCAAAAGTTAGAAGCACATATCGTACTATCATTAGAATGATGTGACGTATTTGTTTATCTACTTTTAATGTAAATGCTTTTTAATTTGTAACCATCATTTTTCTCAAATACTAGTATGGAACCTTTTATTCAGACACACACAATAATTGTCCACTTATTTTTAACATTATAGCGAGGATGAAACGGATGATTTAACGCAGCTGAATCGAATAAATGAACAAGCCACAGGTGGTCGAGCAAGAGTGTCTCTTTTTGAATAAAGAACTACAATGTGACGGGAAAAGGACTTGTTGTTTAAAGAATAAACTTTAACTTATTCGTCACCTTATTATTATTATTATTATTATTATTATTATTATTATTATTATTATATTGTAATTTATTCACTTAGAAACTAAAAATATGAAACCGTGTAATTATTGATGTAAGTTAGCAACAGAAATTTGAAGACAATAAAATCGTTAACAATGATTTTTTTTTCTTTACGGCAAGCTTTATTTAGAGTATATTTTAAACACAATAAATATTTTTAGTATTTTTTGTATTACATTTTGGCCATTACCATTTTATAAATTGTATCTCCATAGAAACAAAAATGTTGTTGTTGTTGTTGTTTTGTTGTTGTTTTTTTTTTTTTTTTTTTTTTAAACAGCTAAACTTTTAACTTGAATTTAAACTTATTATTCTTAGAAAAATACATATTAACAGACTTTTGACCTACTTCGTTTAAATGTATTGTTATTTTAATACCTAGTCAATAAATTATTACAGTAATATTAACAAGTATGATGTAATTGAGTGAAAAACAAACATAAGTTAATGTCTTCCGTCCTTAAAGGTTATCTATTTTTTGTCATTTTGACCTACTGTAAAGTCATTTTTATTGTGATATTTGTTTTGTGTATAGCATAATAAAATTCACTTTTCTTTAAAAATAATTTAAAAGCCTTATTTGATTTAAATATCTTATATAGTAGAATATCTCTTTAATTATTTTTTGTTGATTTTATTGTTCAATGTATGACATGGTATGATAGTTGTTTTAATTCTGTCAATAAATCTATATTTTATCTCATTTTCTAATCGTTTTATTGCGAAGCACGTGACGTTAAATCAAACAAAATCTAACCCACTTTAATATTCAATATTTTCCGATGTAGATGTTTCAGGTTATGCTTATAAAAATCCATCTAGATTTAATCAATATTCAATCAGATGTCCATTTCTTATTATCCACTCTGAACTTATTAAACTCGTATTGAAATCATTTAAATATATATGAGCCGCGTCACGACAAAACCAACACAGTGCGTTTGCGACCAGCATGGATCCAGACCAGCCTGCGCATCCGCGCAGTCTGATCAGGATCCATGCTGTTCGCTTTCAAACCCTATTACAAGTAGAGAAACTGAAAGCAAACAACATGGATCCTGATCAGACTGCGCGGATGCGCAGGCTGGTCTGAATCCATGCTGGTCGCAAACCCATTATGTTGGTTTTGTCGTGACGCGGCTCATATGTAGTTAGAGAGAGAGTTTAGAGAGTTTATTTCATTTATTCCATAAGGCTATTCGCCCATGATGGCAATACAAGCATACATATATACATGTACAATACAAAGTGAGCATGATTTATGTGCATAATACAGCGAACAAAATTAATATTAGATTTTAATTACATAAACTTTTCATTGAAGAAGGTCAAGCATGACATAAGAAAGCTTAATATTCTTAATAATTTTATTTCATATCATTTAAAGTATGACTTTAATATAAATTTGTTAAGATTAGTAATCTGAAAAACATTATTTTCTCCTTAAATTACAATCAGAATTTGTATATATATATACACATTGAGATACATGTAGTAATATGTTATCTTTCTCGTAAAAAGAAAGATAACCCTTGCATGAATTTAGTACAATAATAACAATATTTATATATAAAGTATAACAAGAACATACAAATTACATCCATTTTAACTACCAGCCTTACCGAAACGAAATGCAAGACGGGAATCATGGATTAAATTTAAGCATGAAACATGAAAATTGCATAAAATATTAAATTTCTACATGTCTTTTTTTATCTAGAACGATGTTTTAAATTCACATTTTTACAACTATGCATATAAGTAGGTTTACACGAAAAAAAGTCATTACTCAACTGAACCGTATAGCATTTCATTTCTCTTTTTCAAAAGATTTATATACAAAAAATTCCTAGTTTTTTTTCTATTTGTATCATTTTCATTGTTTAACAATTCAATAAATTTTGCCATATTTGCGATGTTTCCAGTATTTCTTATGAATAAATTGTTTCCTTAATTCATTATACATTGAACATTCTAATATAAAATGATATTCATCCTCTAAAACATTACAAATTTAAACATTTTCGTTCATTAACTGGATTTCTTGTAGGTCTGGACCAACGTCCAAGCCTCTATTTGTAGCCTATGAGAGGAAACTCGTAATCTTACCATAGCCTGGCACAAATTTGTTTGCATTATATCTAGATATGATTGAAACTCAAAATTTGCTATTGTCCTATAAAATAAAGCTCTACTAGAGTTATGTAATCTTTCATGCCAGTTTTTGAACAAAATTGTCCTTTAAACGTTGTTTTAAAATTGCTAGAAACATATCAATATCTCCTACACTCTGCTGTAACCAGACATCATAAAATCCTAAAGAACATAAAAAAAGTTGTTTTAATTTCGAACACCCAGTTTACTATATTTGGGTTATTTTTCAAAATCACTTTTCAACAATTTATAAACTCTACTAACATATTTGTTTTCATTACTACACAATATTTTCATCCAAAATTTTACAATATTGAAAAGATGTCTACAATGAAAATGATATTCTACCAAGTTCTCCATAAATAAAATCATTTTGTGTAGTTTTTTTTAACTCCAAATCTTTTTTACAAAATTGTAAGTGTACCCGTTCTATTGTTTGGCTAACCGTAAAACCCATTATCTCACTACCGTAGTTTAATATAGGTGTAATTAATGTATCAAAAAGATTTAGCTTATGCCTTGGTTTAATATTTTTACGTTAATTTATATAAATATTTATTTAGTTTAAAAAAATAGCTTTTTGTGCTTGTCCAGCTAACATTGTTTGTGCTTTTGTAACTGATCCACCACAAGTAAATACAATACCAAAGATATGTAAATGTATTAACAATTTCAATCAAATTACCATTCATAATAAAACTGAAGATCACTTGGAAGTCTACCACCTTCTTTTAAAAATCATAACTTTCGTTTTAGATACATTGACTTTTAACTTCCATGTATTGCAATAATCATACAAGAGAACATATATGTGTTGAAGTTCTTCTGCTGAGTTTGCAAAAATTACGATATCGTCCGCATATAATAACAAGAAAAAACTTTAAACATATTTACATCTATTCCTTCAACACCACTTTTTAAAAATGTATCTTCTAAGTCGTTTAAGAACATAGAAAAAAGAAATGGTGACAAACATTCACCTTTGTCTTACCCCTAGTGTACATGTAAATTCATTACTTAAATTATTCAAATACTTTACTTTTGATTTTACACATTTGTACATAGATTGAATGACATCTAAAATTTTCCCTCTTAACCCTAACTGAATAAGCTTGTACCAAAGATTTTCCCTAACAACGTAATCAAATGCTTTACTGTAGTCAGCAAATAGACAAAAAAGTTGTTTTCTTTGATTTATGAAATGCGATATTAAACCATTTAAAACAAAAACATTATCTATAGTACTCATATTTGATCTAAAACCCGCCTGAGCTTCAATGTAGACATTATATTTTTCAGCCCAATTTTTTAACCTTGTATTAATTACACTTGAAAATAATTTACCAAGACTACTTAACAATGTGATACCTCTATAATTTTCTACTTCATTAACACTACCTTTCTTATGTAACGGAATGACATATCCTTCTGACCATCTATCAGGAAAATATCCAGTTTCAAAAATTTTATTAAATAAAACACATAATAAAGGAATAAAAACATCTTTCCCTGATATAAAAAATTCATTAAGTAGCAAATCTGGGCCTGCAGATCGATTACGTTTTAATTGATTAATTGCTTGTTTTATCTCATATTCTGTACACTGTAAAAAATGGTAACGCCTGACGCGTTCCACAGGTGTTTGTAAACAAAACGTATGTGTTCTCGTTGTGTGCAGTATAAAAACACATGCGTTTCTTTATGGAACGGGTGTTTATAACTAAAACAGTAATGTGCAGTGTTTAAACGGTTGGTGTTTACATTGGCATGCCTGTGTGGCAAACATGAAACGTTTGTGTTTACTTTATGTCATAAGCTCATCTCGTGTTTTGATTATTAATAACAAACAAAACAGAAACATAACAGTAAAGAGAAACATAACAGTAAGGATAAGACAATACGAATGTTTAGAAAATGTTTAATGAGAAAGTGTCTCTGTCTTAAACGCCGGTGTTTCAGGGGCGAACATTCTGCGTATGTCATGAGTGCCGATCAAGAACACCTTCTGATATTATCCGAGGTGTTACGAATTTAACTTCCTTTCTCCTGCTGCAGCCGAATTTTTTTGGCGCAAATTTTACCTTTCTTCATTTTGCGTGAATTTAGCAAGGAAAACATAGAAAAAACAACAGCAAAAAGGTAAGTACGATGTACTTATGTATTTGTAGATCAAATTCAAAGAGTGAAAAGGCAGATCTTTTTAAGACGGGCGCAATAGAGCATTTTCATTAACCATAGAACTGATTTCCCCACCCACTTTGTTATTTCAAGAATCATATAGATCTAGAGAATAACGTGCTACTGTCTTTTGATATTAATTTTATCAGGCGAGGCTGATAAGGACTAGAAAGGGCGAGGCTTGCCGGCAAAGTAAAGATAACAAGAAAATCGTCTAGCCTGTTTGTTATGATTACATGTATGCTTTATTTGCCTAGAGTCGTGGGCAATTTCTATAAATAGACATCGGAACGTGCAATGACGTCACCGGAACAAGCATGGAATTATATAAAAATCTCAACATACCTCTTATCTATAAATGCAACTCCTGCTTATAAAGTTTTCCTGTCTAACAATTTTTTAAAAGTCACTTATTTATGTCATCCATTTTGTTTAATTGTAAATGTTTGTTTTCCTTGAGTCGTGGGCTGCAGAAAACGAAAGTAGATCAACACATGAACGTCTCACTGAACTATTTAATTATAAAATCAACTGTCAAATTAACTGTCAATTATATTTAAACAAAAAACTGTTTGATTAGCACTAATTTTCAATTTTTTTTTTTTTGGTTTATAGG